GTCATATGTCCAGCAGAGTTTATAAGACTGTTATCGAAGAGCTGGGAATATAGCTTAGTGGCAAGGCACTTGCCTAGTATGAATGAGGCTCTGGATTTAGTCCTGAATAAAAAAAGGAAGAAGGAAGAAGGAGAGAGAGGAAGGAGGGAAGAAAGGAGAAAAGAAAAAAGTATGTTACTAATAGGCAGTTTCATGCACTCAAGGAGAAATACACACAATAATATGTGTATACCCTTGCAATTTTGGTTTACAAGAAATTTAACATGTGGTTTAACTGCTTCTATGCAGTTGAGCAATTCAGGTGGGAGATCTGTGTTTTTTTGTTTGTTTGTTTGTTTGTTTTTAAGACAAGGCCTCAATATGTAGTCCAGACTGACCTTGAACTCCAGCCCTCCTGCCTTAGCCTCTCAAGTGCAGGGATTACGGGCATGTGCCATCACACCTGATGTAGGTGGTAGATCTTATTCATGCAGATTTCCCAAGCAGATATTGTAAAACTACCTAAGTTTTTATGTAACCTATGTGTATCCCACTCAACTCTCTGACCCTCATAATTATTTACAGAAGGTACTTTACCTACTAACATATAGCTGTGTTGTATGTAAAGCTCTGCCCTATACCAGTCTTATATAAAAATTTTATAGCATAATGATTTTAAAAATTTTAAGCAGTGGCTGTTCAAAATAAGAATAAAATATACAGAATTTTTAATTTAGTATATGTGTTGCCAAAGCAAGCACCAGAATTTTTACTTAAATGTAGCACAGCCACAGACCATTAATGAATGATAATCTCTGACCAAACCGTATAGAATTTGTTAGTGGGTTTGTGTTGCTGTCTTTTACCACCAACACTGGCTTCTTTATAGGAGTCATGTGAAAATCCTGTCACATAATAACATTTGTGTGAGCATCTTTCTGTACAGATAATTCTGATAAATTACTACTGCATCTCCCAAAGAGACTTCTTTACTTGGCAGTATATTTTCTGTAATGCCTGAGAAACTTTTAGCAAGATGTCTTTTAACCAACTTTAAAAGTATTTCTTTCAAAAAGTGTTTTGTTTAGTTGTTCCTGACCTAAAAGAACTTTTGGGACTATTTTGTCAACATTGTTCACATCCCAATGATATATTAATCATAAAACAAAGCAGCACTCTTCATTCTCTAGATACAGAACTTTCCAGCTGGGGTTACACATCATTTTTAGAGCTGTGTTTGCTTCCACGCCTAGAATTTTTTAAAAATCAGCAATCAAACTCAGGGCCTCAAATTTGCCAGTCAGGCACTGTATCACTGAGCTACATCCCTGGCCCCTCCTAGAAATTCTGATTCAATCACTCTTTTTGGTTTTTTGAGTTTTAGAGATTTTTATAATGGATGCATTTCCACTTGAGTATCACTGCTTAAATTTGAATGGGTCCTATAGATATTCCATACAACAGGGAGGTGTGTTCTTTCATACTGGTTCTATGACTTTATCATGAGGAACCTAGAAGCTAGCTAGAAGGAAATCTTAGCTCTGTCATCAGAATTTGGATTTAAAAGGGAGCCAAAAAAGGATAACCTATGAAGACAGGCAAAAGATTTTGCAGGAGTCAGTAGCACAAGAAAATACTGAATTCACCCAAGACTCTGAGTTGAGTTTAATACATACCTCTTCATAGAAATGCTTCAGAGCCTCTTCATAATCTAGAATTTAACTTGTGCATCCCAGAACTTGTGAGGTTTCAGGGTACTTAATACAAGCAATAATGCAGCAAGCCTGAGCTCATCATTCTTTGAAGTTCCTGGCAGGTTTTGTGACTGGCATTGTAGTTCAAAATTACAGACGTTACCCAAAATGCTTTTGCAAGCTTTTCGTAAACATGGAAACTTCTGTCAAGAGATGCTTTGATTTGTTACTGAAGATTGTCAAGAACAAAAAGATCATTTTTCTCATTAACTGATCCTTAAGTACTGGCAGTTAGTCTAGGAAATTATGCCAATATTAACATATCTAAACAGGCCTGACTTTTAGAAAGAGGATATTATGCTCAGATTTGCAATTTAGCCAACTAAAAGAATATGCTTATTGATTAGGATTAGATATGGCTATTTTTAAAAATCCAAATTACTAGCTTAGTCAAAGTAGAGACTTAGTTGTATTTTTGGATAAGAAAAATTCAAAAAGAAAGCATTGGTGTGGTTACTCCAGAGCCCTCAGCAATTCAAGTTCTTCACTTCTTTTCCTCCATTGTTCTTGGCAGTATACTATATCTGCAAGGTGTATGGGAATTCTAGACAGCTTCTGGTTCTTCAAATGTTCATAACCTGTATTTAGTAAACATCTGTGAAGGACTTTTTCTGGACCCACCCATCCAGTGATTTCTGCTTTAGTCTCACTGGTCATTCACATTGTCAAGGGAGGCTGGAAAGTTGTAATTTTATTGATTGTTGCAACAATTAGACGTTCTGTTAGTAAATAGGAAGAAGGGAATATTGAATAGGCAACCAACAGACTGCCATAACTGGCTTTGGAGAGCATATTTATATTAGGCAAATAAAATTTTAGTGGCATCAGACACTGTTATATAGGACATAAATTTAAAAGCACCCAAACTTCATGTACCATGTGCCCAATAAATAAAAGCGGTAATCTCTAGGGTAGAGGTCTCAGAACTAGATTTCTCAGGAGGACTCATTAGAAACAGTTGTTAGGTTTTGTTTTTGTTTGTGTTTTTTGAGACAGGGTCTCACTATGTAGTTCAGATTGGCTTTGAACTCACTATACAGAGTAGGCTGGTCTTGAACTTGTGGCAGTCTTCCCACCTCAGCCTCCCAAGTGCTAGGACTACAGGTGTGCACCACCACACCTGACACAATAGCTGTTAGCTTTTGGATATTTTAAATAACCTGAAAAAGTGATTCCCCCTCACATGAACACATTTAGCCCATCCTTCTTGCCGCTTTCTGCAGCAATTCTGGAAATCCTCTTTCATGTGTTTAGTTGTCCTGTTGTGGCTGCCTCTGTTGCCTGAATTAATTCAAAATGTTTATTTTTCATAATCATTTTGACTTTGCAGAAGAGCCAGAAGTCACAGGGTGCCAGATGAGTACACAATGTAAGGTTTTTATAAGCTGCCTTTGCATTGGCTGGCATGGGACAGCAGCATTCCCTGTATTTTTTTTTTTCTTTTTGCATTTGAATAATTTTATTGAAAGGTGTATCTCTTATACCAAACATAATGGTAGTTGGTTAGGTACCTCTATCAACTCAAAACTAGTACTGATGTTTTCAAAATATTGAAATATATCAGCCTTATGGTAAAACAGAAGTTACCCACAAAACATGGTTTACAAAAAGTTAAAGGTAGAATATACTATGGTTCTTCGGTTTATTTTTCAATGCTTATTTATCAGTGACATGATGTCAAAATTGGTTGCATCCATTCTGGATAGAGTCAAGATTCAGGCTGCACTGCTGTTTATAACACTAACAATATATGTCCATCTCCTTACATTGACAGTGTCACATGGAGAATTCCAAACACTGCCTCAGCAATCTCATAATTATGGGAGTACCTCCTTACTTTTCTTAAGACACATTATGGAAATTTGTGAAATTATATTGTTTCTTTAAAAAAATCTGGAAGCAATGGCAATTTTATAGAAATAATCCATAGTGAAACCTGGAGTGCTTTCTCTAGCCAGAACTTAGGGTAAAGCAAGTTTTCAGAGTGTAATTGATTTTGACTTACTATGTAATATAATAGAATATTTTTTTCAGTGTAACTAGACTGAGGAAGTAGATTCTGTATAGAAATTTTTATCATCGATACAAATGTCACCTGTTTTTCAGAAGACACATTAAAGATAGCTCAATGAATATAATTCCCCGTACTTTTTATCATGCCTCATAGAGACACTCATGGTATCTTTTGATCACATCTCTCATGCATCCATCACAGCAGTGAATTACATTAACTCCAGACATGTAAGTCCTCCCCCAGAGAGGATATATTAGATGTGTATTACCTCTGCCTGTATTTCACCCATATACAAAGAAAATGAAAAGATGTAGAGAAATTTGTTCTCTAAAAATCATGGAAACAGAAGCAAACAGTAATTCACAGCATATATACCTGTAGATCATGATGCATATGTGTGAGATGGAAATGTTTCTGCTCTGTGAGACCAGATAATTTTTAAGTTTGTAGTATCATAAGTATCCACTGTTCTCATGGTGCCGTTTAACACCTATTTACTAAATGCTTCATATTTATAATACACTTATACAAATTGCTGCTTAGTGAGACAGTCTAGATTTAAAATGCTCCTTATAACTATCAATTTTAAATCTGGGGAAAACCCAGCCTTGTTTTATTTTTCATTTTTTTGTCTTCCTTTTCCTTTCATAATTACTTATTAGCAGCTAAGTGCCAACTGCCTGTTGACTTTTCTCCACCTGATAGAAAACAGAACCCTGCTGAGATCCCCTGTGAGGAGAGAACCTGTTGTGCTAGTGCGGGGCCAACCTCTGACCTCATGCTTCAATCTGAGTTCTCCATGGGGCAGCAGCTGCAAACAGCTCGTAAGCATAGGGAGTGCTAAAGAAACCAGCCAGTGCCACATCGTCCATTACCCTGCCCTTTGGGCCCAGCAAGCCTTCCTTTGAACCTTTTATGATATCGCATTTCCAGGCTTCCTTGGGAAGAACAGCGTACACTCTGATGCAATAATGGATGAGGGTCTTACATCGCAGTGCAAATGCCTTTGGCACTCTGATGTGAAATAACTGCTTGTTTGAGCATACTGTGCAGTGACTTAGCCTTTCCCATCCATTATTAGTTCCCACTGAAGCTATTGTGCTCAGTTTAAATTTTCTAGTAGGGCCTGTGAAAAGGAAATGGAAATCTCACAAATTGCTCTTTATTTATAGCTTACTCGTTGCTAATGCAGTTGTCTCATACCTTGGTGTTCATGTCTCTTGTTCCGCTTCCTGTTTGCCCTCTGCTTTCAGCTGAAGGTCTCCCACAGGTGTACTACTTTGGACCATGTGGAAAATACAGTGCCATGGTGCTGGAGCTCCTTGGCCCTAGCTTGGAGGATTTGTTTGACCTCTGTGACCGAACGTTTACTTTGAAGACGGTGTTAATGATAGCCATCCAGTTGGTAAGCTGGTGTTGATATTCCAGAAAAGAGGCTGATCTCCCTGTCACACCCTCGTGGGCCTTTTGGCGATTTATTAACTGTAGCAGCACCTAGTGAGTTAGTTCTTAAAAGCTTGCCAGGATTCTAGGAAGCTGGCTGGGGCAAAAAGGGTTAACTCAGAGAAGTCATACTGTATCTCCAGTTTGCTCTATTTTAAGAATTTGCACCTTGGAGCAGTACCCTGCCCTTAAATGAAATGGAAACACAGAATTTAAATTAGGTAAAAAGAGGATGATTAGGTGGAGTTGTACACATTCAAATAATTGTTTTATTTATAGGTTTTAAACAGCTGTAAGGTGTTGTCATGTCCTCTCGCTCCTCGCACTATTGCATCTTGGGAAAGATTGAAGACATAGCCCACAGCTCTAATCTTCATTTAAAGTTGTTTGATCCAAAAATTGCCTTAGTTCTCTGGCATTGTAAGCCTCTGGCTGGCCAAGAGGCAGCTCTTGCACACCAGTCCAGATTTCCGGAGCAGTTGCTGCTATGCCCCCGAGAAGCATGTCAGGCTTCAGGGTAAGGATGCAAATGCATTTTTACTCGCTTGACACCCTGATAGTCTCATCCATCATCTAGTAGACATTTGGAAATACTGTATTAGAAAATTCAAATGTCTAAGTTTCCTTTGTAAACTAAGAAGCTTTGCAGATAGAAATAGATAATAATAATAAAAAAAGAAATAGTTAAGGAAATTTGAAATAATGCTGATTTTTTTTGGAGATATATTCACTTTAACATTAAAAACTATAGTCCTGTCCCTGCCACTGACTAGCTGTCTCTTGTCAGGCCAGTATTAACTTTTCTGGGCCTCACTTTTCTTAATTTCTACAATGATGGAAGCTGGATTGAGGAGTCTTGTCCAACTCAGGATAGGAAGATAGGGTCAGGAAATGAACATGCTGTGGTCCCTGTCCTACAAGCCATTGATTGCCTGGCATCCTACCTGGTAATACTTCTTTTCTCTCAAAGACTTCCTGAAGTAGCATAAATATAATCTTATTAATTGTATTAATTGTGACATTATGAGATAAAATTGTAGTATTATTTTAGCCAAACTGTACGATTCCACCCTTTCTAATCAAGTGAGTAAAATTGATGGTAAAGAAGAGATCCCTTAAAAAAATACAAAAAGAAGAAATCCCTTTTATTTATTTATTATTATTTTTCCTTTTTGTGGTTTGTTTGTTTGTTTGAGGCAAGGTCTCACTTTTTAATTTTTATGTTGGTAGTTAAAAGCTAATGCTGAACTGGGCTCAGCACATCTATAATACCAGCTACTTGGGAGGCTGAGACAGGAGGCTTGCTTGAGCCAAGAAGTTCAGGATCATCCTAAACAACATAAAGAGACCTGTCTCAAACAGTAACACAAAGAAACTGGGTGTGGTAGTGCATGCCTATAATCCTAGCACTGGAGAGGCTGAGGCAGGAGAATCGACATGAGTTCAAGGCCAGCCTGGGCTACATAGAGAATTCAAGGCCAGCCTGAACTACATAGCAAAACCCTGTCTTAAAAAAAGCAAAACAAATCAAGAAAAACAAGACAAAACAAAAAACCAGACCAAAATCCTTATGATGAAATATTTTTATTTTTAAAATATGCTTATTTAAAATATTTCCATTTGTTTTTTGTTGTTGTTCTCTTCTAGCTGTCTCGAATGGAATATGTGCACTCAAAGAATCTCATTTACCGAGATGTCAAGCCAGAAAACTTCCTGATTGGCCTTCAAGGCAATAAGAAAGAACATGTTATACACATTATAGACTTTGGACTGGCCAAGGAATACATTGATGCTGAAACCAAAAAACACATAGCTTATAAGGAGAACAAAAGTTTAACTGGAACTGCAAGATATATGTCTATCAACACGCATCTTGGCAGAGGTGTGTTTATGTTCTGCTCCATGAAAGGGGCAGGTTATTAGAACAACTTCATTTCAATAACCCTTTTATCCCATTGTGCTTTACAATTTGTACTTACTGATTCCCAAGGTAAGTGATTTTTGTACTTGAGAAATTAAAATGGTAAGTTAATGTTTTTCTTAAGACCCTATTGACTACTAATGGATTCTTAATTCTTTACACTATGTTTCCATTTGCTTATGTTCACATTTCTCAGTAGTATGAAAACTTGAATTATTTTAACAAATGTCCCAGTATTTTTGTGAGTTTATGAGTTTACATTTATATGCCTTGAGCTGCATAAATGATAGTCCTGTAGAAGACAGCAGGCTGATACCTACTTGGGGAAGAGTACTTCACTAAAATGTGTCCTGGTCTTCGTTTACTCTGAATAACTTCAAGCAGAGTCTTTAAGGAAGAACTTCCATTGTATGCAATGAAAATATATTTACTGTACTTTGAGTCTTGTATTTTTTTCGAGATAAAGTCTGTACAAAAAAAAAAAGTCTGTACAAATATTACTAAAAGCTCTAATAAACACAGAAGATCCTGCTTGTTAGAGGAACTAGTTCAAGTGTTTGTGGGAGAAGCCAAGTCCTGGGCAGGCCCCTTGTAAGTGTCACAAAAGTTTCCCTTTTTGTTTTATAAATTGGGCTTCCATGAAAGACTTTATTTCAATAAAAGGTACTTAGGTGGTTGAAAGAATAGGAAAATCAACATTCTAGAGAGTAAATGGTGAACAAAATATTATCAGGTTTTGTACTCCCTGACATAGCTAATTATAAAAGGTCTTTAAAATATTAAGGAACTGTGGTACAGTGTTAAGTACTTTAAAGACTAATGTATATTTACTAAATTGCCTCATTGAAGTAAACTACACAGGTATTCAGATGAGGATTCTAGTGCTACTGAAGAATAAAATAACAAAGTGTTGGGATACAGTATAAGTTGAAATCATGAGTGTGAGTACTGTCTGGATTTATCAGTAACTCCATAGAAATCCTTACTTATTATGATGCTTTAAAATTAGGCTAGACTCTGCCATTTAGTGTCATTTCAGACAAGTTGTTTATTCTCCCTGAAACTTATCTGTAAAATAAAGATCATACTTGAGAAGGATGCTTTGAGAGTTGCACGTAGATAAGACACATACAAGCACCATACCTGTCTTAGTGTATTTTCTATTGATACGCAGAATACCTGAAACTGTATAATATATGAAAAGAAGTTAGCCACAGTTCTGTGCATCTCATGGTGATGGCATCACGAGGCATAACCTTGTTCCAGAGTGTTGCGGAGGGGCACGTGTGAAAAGAGAGGCGAGAACAGGGGACTGGGCGAGTTATAACTACCTCGGTGTGGGGGTGGGGCAGGATAGATGAAAACTAATCCAGTCTCACAGAGAAGATATTAAGCCCATGTACAGGCCCAGCCTCCCACTACCTCTGCCTTGGCAATCAAATTCTCCCTGAATTTTGGTCATAGTCAAACCACATCCAGCCCACAACAGTACCTAACACAAGTCTCTTGGACACCCTGTTTTAATATCCCCTTCTTCCTTTACGTAGAGTTGCAAATTCCAGCCCTTTAAAGCTATGTGATTTTCATCCAGCAAACTCTCTCCCTCAGACTCAGTTATCTCATCTACAGAATGGGAATGATAATAGTTCCTGTAACATAGGGTTCTGTGGGATTATATAAAGTATGTTTAGTGCCTGAAAAATCAATGTCTTTCCATATGGTAGTTATCTTTAATATTATGTACTCAACAAGATATGTTTTAAGCATCTACTCTGTATCAGACTAGGTTCTTTCTCTTTTTTTGAGACAGGGTCTTGTTATACAGTCCAGGCTCATGGCAATACTGCCTGAGCCTTCTGAGTGCTGGGATCATAGATGTGCACCACACATTCAGCCAAGGCTCTTTCAACTCTTACTAAACTGTTGTTCCTGCCAAAACTGTTTATTTCCAGAATTCTGTGTCCCAGGTCCCAGAGTTTCTCAGGTCAGATCCAAACTGTCACTGTATTGTTTTTCTCTCCATATTACATAGAATACTTGCAGATGGTGTCACCGCCATTTAACTCTGCTGCAGGTATCAAACTAGAAGGGTTCCCATCGGAACTCTAGTGCTATTAATTTTTAAGTGTGATGGCATTCTTTGTTGAAATGAAAGAAGAAAAAAGGATTGGAAAATGTACTTCAAATGACTTGGAGAGAATGGCTGTTAAGATTTTTAAAAAAGGAAAGCAAGGGAAAAAGCCTCCTATGCCTGGCATCACCATGACAGATAAGCTGTCTTCCCACTAATTGAGCCCTGTTTGAAACCACCCAGTCACTATTGTTTAATGGTTGACAGTGCAGATACTGGTTACATTGCCTTTCTTCCAACATGGAAGCCAAGTACATCATTCTGATTGGCTAGAAGGAAGCTTTTGTGATGTTGAAAATTTTTCTTTCCTATTGTCCTTTGGTTTTGAAACCTTTCTTCTTTAAAAATGAAAATATCCCCATTGCTTCTCAGCCTTTTGGCTAAGATCAAGTGTAGTAAAAAATATCCTCCATGAAAAAGTGATGAGGGTATGCGGAAATAAAAAGCAAATGTGGAGGGCCAGGGATTTAGCTAATACCACCGCACCTGCCTTGCAATTGCAAAGTCCTGAGTTCAATCCCCGGTACCGAAAGGAAAAAAAAAAAAAGAACAAATGTGGACTGTTCAAAGAAGTAGGAAAATAAAGCACACTCTGGTTTTCACTCTTTTATTTTTCTTGAAAAGTCCCAAGTGGTTCAAGTTATCATTGATCATTTTAGAATTTTGGGGCTGGAAAATGATTTTTCAGATTATCTAAATTAATCACTTTATTTTCAGATGAAAAAACCAAGGCCCCAAGCAAGTGACTTGGTTGTGCTTAATTTCTCTGGATTAAATGAGTGGAAAGGACAAGCCGAAACCTAGATTTCTAACCCAATTTAGGAACCACTGTTTTTCCTATTACCCCATATTCCGTAGTTGTTCTTCATGGTTCTTGGGATTGAAAAGTGGCTTTTACTTATTCTGGTGAGCTTGAAAATTTTTAAAATCTCATTTTATAATGGGTTTAAATAGTGAAGAAAAATTTCCCCTTCTGTGAGCCTGAGTAATGTTGAAAATGTGGAGAGTTTTGCCCTCTAGTGCTCAACTAAAATTCAACCTTTTTTTGTTGTTGTTGAACTATTTAGTATATCTTTTTTTTGGCCTCTTGTTACAGGAAGTGGATATAGAAATGGAGAGGTGATGAGTAGGTGTGATACAGTGTGTGAAGCTGCAGTGAGTGGTTTCTCTCTGTGTGCTCTGCTTTGTAGGAGGACTGAATTCACCCTGCATATATTCTGTTTTTCATTTTTGTCTTTGTGTTCTGTTAGCAAACTTTTTGTCTAATTGCTTTTTGGTTTCAATTATAAGTGTAATATTTTATTGCTGACTTTAGATAAGCCATATCGACAAAAGTGTCTGATGATCTCCCTTTTTTATTTTATTGTTTTTGAGATTATTTCAAGGTAGATGTGGTGAGGTATATATTTTTAATCCCAGGAGGCAGGAGCATCTCAAATTTAAGCCCAACCAGGACAATTTAGGAACTTAGAAAGATCCTGTCTCAAATTTTAAAAATACGTACATACATACACATCTACAAACAACATACATAAGGTCTGGACATATGGCTCAGTGGGAAGGATTTGGATTCAGTATCTAGTACCATTTTATTTTGTTTTGTTTTGTACCAGGTATTGAACTCAGCACCTTGCACTTGGCAGGCGGGTGTAGTGCCACTAAGCTAAATCTCGGGGCTCTCCAGTACCATTTTTAATTTATTTTTTTAATTCCAGGGATTGAACTCAGGACCTTGTGCTTGTGAGGCAGGCGGTGGCAACACCAAGCTAAATCCCTGGCCCTCTAGTACCATTTAAAAAAAAAAAAAAATTATTTCAGGGCCAGGGATTTAGCTCAGTGGTTCTGCCACCTGCCTCACAAGGACAGGGTCATGAGTTCAATCCCCTGTGTCCAAAAAAAAAAAGATTATTTCAGTTGAGGTACAACCTCAGTTTTATGTTATTTATCTCTTTGTGAGGGTGCCTCCTCTTTTTTCTTTTCTTTTTCTTTGTTTGTTTTTAAAGTGCTAGAAATTGGTGTGGTGGTGTACACCTATAATCCCAGCACTTGGAAAGCTGAGGCAGGAGTATTGTTGCAAATTTGAGGCCAGCTTGGGCTACATAGTGAGACCTTGTCTCAAAAGACTAAATGAATGAAGGAATGAAAATGAGCTAGATACTGAATCCAGAACCTAGCTAAGAAGGCTTTCTACCACTGAGCTACCTCCCCAACCAGGAGTGCCTCCTTTTTCCATTAGTGACCACCTTTTCAAAACCCTTCTTCCAACTGCTATTTAGAAAGTTGCCTTTTCCTTCTTCATCTACCCCATAGAATACTATTCATTCTTATTTTTTCCCCCAGTATGGGGGATCGAACTCAGGACCTTGTGCCTGCCAGACTATTCATTCTTTTTCATGCAAATTTCCCATGATTCTATGCAACAGTTAACCATGATCTGCTTGTATATTTTCGGTAAACTGAGGGGCTGGCTTTTCTTGCTCATATAGCAATCTTGGATTTTACTATACCGCACACACAAAACATCAAGGGCTAGGGCTGTGTTTTTGGTAGAATGCTTGCCAAGTAGGCGCAAGGCCCTGCATTCAATTCCCAGTATTTTAAAACTATTTTCTGTCGCAAATAATTAATCTTCCTAATTCATCTTCTTATAGGTTTTTTGTTTTTGTTTTTGTTTTTGGTATCAGGGATCCAACTGAAGACCTTGTGCTTGCAAGGCAGGCGCAGTGACACTGAGCTAAATCCCCAGCCCAACAGCATCTTGTTTTAATTAAGCTCCCAAGATGCCCACGCTGTTTTTTGTTCCATGGAGGTTACCTTATTAATGAATTTTAAACTTGTATGAAGGACATTCTGATATAGTACATAGCACAAATGGAATAGGAACCAAGAGATTATGCATTGAGATTTGCTTATATGAAACTGAATTACAAGTGTTAATTTTTATGCTGAATATCAGCCGTTCTGCAGTTTCCATACCTAGAGTGAATGATTTTAACAGCTTTAGCTGCTTAAACTGCCAGATACTGTCCTTGGGATAACCAAACAGTAATTGTACCCCATATAAATTTACCTTAGTTTCAGTCAGGTGATAATAGCATTGAGTAAGGAGTGATTACTTACTGTTTAGTGGTTGGGGCTTGGTTTTAATTTAGGATTTGCTCTTTTTACTTGCTGTTTACATGCTAGCAATAGATACAGACAAAGGAAGCAAACATAGTATTTTAGTTCAAAACCAAAAACAAGCTTCTGGTTTAGCTATACAAAGAATTAGTAAGTAGAATCCTTCTCCAGAACAGAAGGGTTTTTGAACAGATTCCTCGATTTGAACCTCTTTCTGCTTTCATAACCACAAACATATTGTGTGATTTGTCTTCCTTTTAGAGCAAAGCCGGCGAGATGATTTGGAAGCCCTGGGCCATATGTTCCTGTATTTCCTTCGAGGCAGCCTACCTTGGCAAGGACTCAAGGTATCCTTGAAAATGTTCAGTGGATGGCTCTGTCTCAGTGTGCAGTTGTGAATGAGGGGCTGCTGGCTTGGGCTTTCTAAGAAGCCACAGAGATGAGATGCAAGAATTCGTCTACATTGTAAATGCTCACCTGAGCTTTGGAGGCTGTGTTTTATTTACATTTGGTTTCTTCCTGCTCTTAATCTTTGTCTCTTTTTGTTTCGGTTTTCGGGAATCTTTCCTCTTATTTTTCCCAGTTTTGCAGTGCTGCTTTTCTTTCTGTGTTGGTATCCTTCCTCCCCTGCCATTATGCAGCAGAAGGAGTGTTCCCAGTGTGTCGGGGAATTTCTGGAACAAATTGATGACAGCAGCTGCTGCATATTTTACCAGAAATGCCAACGGGGTAGGCCCCTAAGAGGAATTAGAAAGTATTTGTTCATACAGCTTAGGCTAAGAACCCACCAAAACTAAAATGAAACCACTTAATTATATTGTAGAATAAATATCTTCTTCCATTCAAGTGTATTATAGAATAAATACCCTTTCCAGACAACAATTCCTTGTAGACTGTGTAGTTTGAATAGTCTTCCTTAGGTAGGTGTCCATTCAGTGCCTACATGTCAGAGATAACTGTCATCGTAAGTATTATAATTGCTCTTTGCTTCTAGCTGTTAGTCTAGGAAATGGTGAGCTTCTTGTGCATCTTAAGTCCCTTTAGATAGTTAACTATGAGATACATTTTTACCAGCACGAGGGAGGGTGTGACAAGAGTATCACTGCAAGTTCAAGACCAGCCTGGGGTACATAGCAAGACCCAGTCTCAACTTCCCCCACCAAAAAAAAACAAAAAAAAACGAGAGAGAGAAAATGATTTTTTTTTTTTTTTTTTTTTTTTTTTTTTTCC